ACTAATAAACAACATTATGATAAATGGTGAAAATATTGAAGTTGTCAAGGATTTCATTTTACTTGGATCCACAATCAACACTCACAGAAGCAGCAGTCAAGAAATCACATAACGTATTGCATTGGGCAAATCTGCTGCAAAAGACCTCTTTAAAGTGTTAAAAAGCTAAGATGTCACTTTGAGGACTAAGGTGTGCCTGACCCAAGCCATGGTGTTTTCAGTAGCCTGATGTGCATGAGAAAGCTGGACAATGAATAAGGAAGACCGAAGAAAAGGTGATGCCTTTGAATTATGCTGTCGGCAAAGAATATTGAATATACCATGGACTGCCAGAAGAACAAACAAATCTGTCTTGGAAGATGTAGTCAGAACGCTCCTCAGAAGCGAGGGTGGCAAGAATTCATCTCATGTACTTTGGACATGTTATCAGGAGCAACCAGTCGCTAGAGAAGGACATCATGCTTCGTAAAGCAGAGGGTCAATGAAAATGAAGAAGACCCTCAATGAGATGGATGGACACAGTGCCTACAATAATGAGATCAAACGTAGCAACGATTGTGAGGATGGCATAGGACTAGGCAGTGTTTTGTTCTGTTGTACACAGGGTCACTATGAGTCGGAACCGACTTAATAGCACCTAACAACAACAATAGTTTCCTAAAACCCCCATAATAGTGAGTATAGTCCATGAGTTCTATGTGGCCATTGCAATGAATTATCAAACCCAGGAGAGAAGTAGTGGGAGGGACGGCTGGTGTCAGAATTGGTAAAAAGCTTGGAGAGAGGAGGTATGTCTCATCTCCGCCTCCTAGGAATCAGCCTTGGGCTGTTGATCTTGATTCTCCTTCCCCTTGTGAAGTTGGAGCTGGGAGGAGGTCAGACGATCCCACACCACCAGTTTTACACTGCCATCTGGACCACCTGGGCTTTAGCCTGCGTCTCAGCCTGTGCTGAGAGCAAAGCCCGTGCCCACTGGCAGCTGGCAGGAGATAGGCTTGGCCTTGCCCTCCCAGGCAGACAGGGCCCATGCCAGGGCCTGCCCCTGCCCTGCAGGAGCCAGCTCAGGGCCCTGGAGAGGGCTTTGGGAGTCATGAACAGGGCAGCCACCTTACATTTGATCCATCCATAAAGCCTGGGAGAAGGGTAGGAACATGAGCTGATGTAGGTAAACTTTTTTTTCCGCTTGGATATTTTTACTGTGGAATAATTTTAGGCTTACAGAAAAGTTGCAAAGATTGTGCAGGGCGCCCGTGTACCCATCCACCAGTTTTCCCCTAAAGCTGACATCTTACTCGATCACAGCCAGTTGTCAAAACTAGGAGGTTAGCACTGGTACATCACTATCAAGTCCAGACTTCACTCGGATGTCACCATTCCCCCCACAGTATCCTTGTTTTGTTACAGGATCCAACCCGTGGCACTTGGCGGGGTGACTGGACCGGCAGAGACAAAGGCCAGGAGGTGGCACTCATTCCCGAGGCCCTGCCCTGTCTGGTGGTCAGCTGGGAGGCCATGTTACCAGGTGCAGAGATGACACAGATTCCAGGGCTGGGACAGGGAGATGACAGGCTGACACCAGCATTGGAGGAACTCGTGGGAAGGACCCTAAGCCAGGCTGCCAGCTGGACAGTGCCCACGGCCTAGAGGCAGGCCCCAGGCTAAGTCTTAGGCTGAGCATATTGCACAGCAGGGCAAAGCCCCCTTTCCAGCCACTGTTGGCTCATCTGTTAAATGGGTTGAACACTCAGTGAGACAACAGAGGCTCGCAGCAAGTCCACAATAGAAAACCACCAAAGCCAGTGCCCAGCGAATGGTGGCGCAGGGGTTAAGCCCTCGGCTGCCAACCAGAAGGTTGGCTGTTTGAACCCATCAGCCACTCTGAAGGAGAAAGATGCGGTAGTCTGCTTCTGTAAAGATTACAGCCTTGGAAACCCTATGGGGCAGTTCTACTGTGTCCTACAGGGCCCCAATAAGTTGGAATCAACTCAAGGGCAGTAGGTTTTTGGGGTTTTTTTTAGGGGAAAAAAAAACAATACCAGGCCATTTCTCTGAGCCCCAAGTCTTCATCCTGAGAAGGGAAGGTCACACCCCTTCAGCAGTAACCGCTGGCTGTCCCTCCCCCGAGTCCCCCTGCTCACCCCAGCCAGCGCTGTCACCCCCCCAGTTTCCCAACCCCAGGGACAGCCTCTTCGCTTCGGCTCCTGGAGGGGTGGGGGCGGCCTGCGCCACCCGCATCCAAGAGCACGGTCCTGACCACCCCAAGTGACCTTGGGCGAGGCCTCGCGCTGCTCAGTTGCAAAACATAAAACTCACATTGCAGAACACAGTGGCCGGCCCGCCTCCGCCCCCGGCCTAAGAGGCCTGCTACACCTCAAGCCGCCGTCCCCGCGGCGCCTGGCCTCTGCGCCCCTCAGTGGGCATCCAGCTGCGCACCCGCAACCCCTCCCGGCCATCTGACCCCCAATCCCCCTCAGACTCCTGCCTGTGGGGCGTCGGCATCCCACACCCTGGTAAGCCAAGCGGGGTTCCCGTGCCGCGGGAAGGCGTGGGGGCCGCCGCCCGCCGGGGCTTCCCCGCGCCGCCCCTTTGTCCTGCAGGCCAATCGGTAGTCTCCTGCCTAAATAAGGCGAGGCGCGCCGGCGCCGGCCGTTACTTCCGCCCCGCCCGCCCGTGACTCAGGCCCCGCGGCGGGCGGGACCGCGGGCTTCCCGGTG